GGAGGCGCTGAGGGACCTGGCCGACGACTTCAATGTGCGGGACCCGCGGAAGCTGTACCGACTTGCAAGGCAGCGCGACCTCGACGTGACGCAGGCCATGGCCTTCGAGGCGCTGAAGGCCGACGTGGGCCGGCAGGTGCAGGCGCCCCGGCCGAACGACTCATCGACTCTCCCCCAGCTCCATGCTACATGTATGGACGCCAACCCGCTGAACCTCCACTCTCCCCCAGCTCCATGCTATATGCGCTCTATGTACTATATGGACGCCAACCCGCTGAACCTCCACTCTCCCCCAGCTCCAATGTACTATATGTGTTACGCACGAAAATCTGTACTATATGTGCTACGTGGCCCTATATAGCACATATAGTACATATAGCAAGGAGCTGGGGGAGAGTGGAGGTTCAGCGGGTTGGGGGGCCATAAAGCACATCTAGTACATATAGCAAGGAGGTTCAGCGGGTTGGGGTCCATATAGCACATATAGTACATGTAGCATGGAGCTGGGGGAGAGTGAAGGTTCAGCGGGTTGGGGGCCATATAGCACATATAGCACATATAGCATGGAGCTGGGACACTCTGGGGTTCAGCGGGTTGGGGGTCATATTGCACGTCTTCCACGCCCTGCGTCCCGCAGTCGCAGCGCGAACTGTGCGTCTTTGGGCAAGGCCGAGCGTGCCCTGACAGCACGTCGTTCCTGACAGCGCGGGATGCGGCGTGCCCGGCAGAAAGGGTCGTAGCGTGCGCGCTTGCCTGCCACCTGCCAGAGCGGGAGCAGGGGGGGGCTTGCAACGGCCCGACGATCGGTTTCTGTGCCATCTCTGTACGGAATGCGTTCGGTCGGGCTTCTGCCTGGTCTGTGCCCTCAAAAGGCAGGCCCCCGGGGCTGTGTCGCGAATTACTGGCCGTTGTACAATGCCCTCAAACTCTCCGCCATGGAGATCGCCTTGTCGGACCCGAACTTTCGCTTCTCGCGCACAGAGTCCTTGACACACTGCGCCGTCACTTCCACGAGGATGCAGCGCTTCAGCACCGCGCGCGTGTCCGCGTCAAAGACCTTGTCAAGCGGGCGAGCGCGCCACTCAAACCCGAGCATGAGGTCCGGAGGGCAAATCTTCGCCATGTCGTCCAAGTTGTGGTGGAGTTTCGCCAGGTCCTGCACCGTGATGATCCTGAACGTCTCCGCAGGCACCTTCACGTCGTTGTAGCGACATTTGATGGTCGCTGGCAAGTCGGGCGACAGACCGAGGAGATGCTTCAGCGTGTCCACTCCCCCGCCTTGGGCGCCGATGTTGCTGCTGCTGATCTGAAGCTCGTCCAGGAGCAAAGGCCTCTCGTCGCGCAGGAGGCTGCGCTCGACCGCGGATCGCAGCATGTCCGGGCTGGACACCATGACGAACTCGTCCAGACCCACGTCGCGGGCTACCATGGCTGCCAGGCAACTTGCCAGGGGAGTTTTCCCCTTGCCACTGTCTCCGTAGAAGATCCTCCGCTCGTCGCGAGGGCTTGAAAAAGGCCAGTGGCTGCTTCTGGTGGACCTCGGGGTTGTACCACCAGCTCACGGTGCTCTCGTTGATGACGAAGTCGGTCGGCGATGGCGCGAAACCAGCAGGCTCTCCACTTGCAACTGGTCGTCCTGCGGAGCTGTGCACGAACTTGTCCTCGTTTTTCGGCAGGCGCTTCCCAGAGTTCAAGGCCCTGTCGCCTCGGAAGGTCGTGTCGAGCTTGATGAGATGGCTCTGGAACTCGGACGTCGTCATATCGTCGTAGTTCTTCAAAACCCGTCGTGGAGAGAACTCTGGCGCCGGAGGTGCGTTTGCTGCAACAAGGGCGTCGTAGTCCCGACTCATGGCCCGCATGGTCCCCTTCTGCTCCAAGCAATTGGCCATCAGCTTCACGACATCGTGAAGCTTCCCCTTGCCAAGCTTGTAGAGGTGGGTGGACGTCGGAGGATGGGGCAGCAGCTTCATGGTGGGCTTGTGGAAGAAGACCCACAAGGTGGTGGCCGACGTCAGGAGGCTGAGCTTGGTCCACGAGGCGCCACGCCATCCAAGCACAACCTTTGCCCTGGTACTTGTCGTCCCCCACCCTGTAAAGGCACTCCAGCAGTTCTGCTTCGGACACACCCGGGCCTGTGCGGCGGAACTCACAGGGAACCAGAACGTGGTTGCTGCTGTGGAAGATGGGAGCGGCGTTGTTCCTCATGAAATCCTCGTCTCGCGGCCCGTCGGCCCTTGGCAGCAAGAACACAGTGGTTACCTCCGGCTCCGGCTGCGGCTGGTCGTCACGCTCAGGTAAATGGGCTGGCGCGGAGACTGAGGCTTCACGGGTGGAGTGTCCGGGGCGGCTTCGCGGCGATCCAACCATTCCACCAGGCAATGCTCCAAATTCGTCGGCGGGTAGTCTTCACCCACGGGCTCCTGGCCGGCATTGACGAGTTCTTCAAAGATGGGCAGAGCCTGCTTGCAGCCGATGCTGTCATAGGACAGCATCTCCCGCATGTCGTCCAGGGTCTTGAGCGCCCGAGTCCCCATTCTCACGGACGGTAGACAGCGCCAGGTTCGCTGCCGCCTCGCGCGCCTTGCGCTCGCACTTGGAGAGAGTCGCCATCGCAGAGCTTTGTGAATGCTTCTCGAGCAAATAGACTTGGCTTGTTGAAAGCCAGCTGTGTTTAAACCCTACAGGCACCAGCCCGCCCGCCGCGAAAACGCTCTGACGGCATAACCCGTTTGAACGCACCCCGGAAGCTGACTCGCACAAAGCTGACTCGCACGACGACGCACACAACTACAAAGCTGACTCACCTCCATCCCCCCTTCGCACCCCCGAAGCTGACTCGCCCCCCTTCCTGGCAGAGCATGTCACTGCCCCGTCACTTTCGTGCCCGTCACAAAAAACCGGCGCGGCGACGGACAAAAAAAACTGCGCACGCCTGCGCCTCAAAGACGAGAGGAGGCAGCTTGGGGCTCCGGGCGTACTCCATGACTCCGGGCGCCACGCGGCTCTCCTGGCTGGTGGGCTGCGCGCTCTCCCTCAGCGTCTCGCTGTGGCAGTCGCCGCACAGCGCCTGCAGGGTTTGCACGCTGCCCGCAAAGGCCTGCCTCGCCGGCACCACGTGGTCCAGCTCGCAGGTGCCGGCCGTCAGCCCGCAGCCGCACAGGGCGCACTTGCCGTCCTGCGCGGCCAGGGTCTTCTGCCTCTCCGCCGCGCCGCCGTTTCGCCTTGAGCAGCTTCAGGAAGATCTCGCGCGCCAAGCCGGCCAGGCGCTGGCCTCGGTACTCCTGCCCCAGCGCCTCGCACCACCTTCGCAGTCCACCTCGGTCCTGGAGTTCCGATCTGCGTGCTCTGGGTGCTGACCGCACCAGTGCTTTTCAGGGTCAAGGAAGTAGGTCTCGTCCGAGAGCTGCAGGATCGGGCCGGCCGGGTCGCCCAGCGAGGCCTCCACCTGCTGCCTGACCCGCTGCGCCACCTGCTCCTAGGTGGGCCGGGTGCCTCGTCATGGCGCCGCCCAGCAGCCAGTCCCTGCGCTCGTAGCCCGCCCCGGCGTTCCGCCCGCTGCGCCTCCTGCCCCGGATGATCACCGGCGCGTGGACCAGGTGCTCGTAGTACTTGTCGCGGTTGCCCAGCTTGGTCAGCCGGTGCTCTCCGCCCTGCAGGGAGCGCACGAGCTTCTTCTGCCCGTTGCGCAGCAGGATGTAGTCGTTGCCTGCTGATGTATAGTGGTTGCTGCTGTTGCTGGCTGCAACTTGTTTCGTCAAGCTGTATAACGAAATTTCAACCAGTACTGTGGAACTCCAATGGCTGCAGAGTTTTTGGAAACCTGAAGGCTGCTTTGTCAAGGTTGACAAGTAGTGAGTCTACCCACCTGAAGGCTGCTTTGTTGACAAGTGAGTGCCACAGTGCTTGATTCACCAAACGACGACCGACTCACCCGTCAATGATTGTAGTGTTAAATCATCATAGCTGCTTCAGTGACAGGTAGAGACATCAGATCTAAAAATTGAAAAGCGCCAAAATATGCCTTCAAGGCTGAAACACCTTAGTTGGGGAGACTGAGATGCGCGTTTTCTAGGTGTAGACTTAGTGATTGAATCCAAATTGGGTATCGCAAAACAGCGAGCCTTGAATTTTACAAAGCATTCATCATCGCCAACGAACCTGGTTAAGCTTTGAGGTACGGCGTCAACGCAATCATTTTTATAGAAGAGGAACGTGTCTACTGCCGCACTTGTCATGTGTCCACACTCCTCGTCTTGAGCTGAGAGATTTGTTTTTCAGTGGTATCTCCCTTGATGGCTGGGATCATTGGTCTGAAACGGAAGTTCACCAGCTGCGCTCAGCGCCGGGTCAGTCAGAGACTCACTTCTGGTTGATGTTCGCAGCCGGCCTGGGTCACTTGACTCATCTGCATGCCAGCAACGACGATGACAACATTATATGCCTAATGCGTGCCAGCAACGTGCGACTACAAAGGGAGATTGAACCTGCAGCGATCACAGCAAGGCTTGGCGCGAATCAATCAGCAAGCCAAGCTCATGGTCAGCCTCAAAACTCATTGTTGATTGCCCCAAAGTCTGTTTAACAATCGGTCAGGGGCCCGCAAAGGCCCGGAGACTGACTCCGGGCCTCGGCGGTCCCCTGCCCACAAGTTCAACAGAACGGTTAGGTTGGCCCAGACAGGTTCGAGCGAAGACCCTGAGCCCCTCATTATCTGTTAACTGCATCTCTTATTTGGGGCCTTGCAGTCGTGCATACGAAACCTTTGTCATTGCCTGTGCCAATGATTGGTCTCCCGACGGCCGAGTATCCTGACAAACCCTGCAGAAGCCCGCCCTGCGCAAAACCTATCTTTTTGCCACTTGCTCTGAGGCATCGGGTCTGGTTTGTCTAAAGCGCAGGTTGGCTGGCCGGAAGCAAAACTGAAAGCAATGAGAATCTGGAGAGAACCAGCGGCGTAAAACGAGCTGTAGATTCAGCCAATCCCGATTGCGTTCGAAACCTCAGCGCCGCCGAAGCTTTTGCTTGTAGACGGCCCGGGGGAGTCTGCCACTTTTCGGCATGTTCTTCCAATGATCTTCTGGAAGCTTGTTCACAAGGTTCACAGTGTAGAGGGCGCGCGGAAGAAGGCGTTGCAACACGTTCAAGGACATGCCGTCGCCAAACGCCTTGCCCAGTTTCTTGCAGGAGCTGTTGGCCTCCAGCAAAATGTCAACCCAAGACTTGTCCCACCCTTGGATCGCCCCCATTTCATAAATCGTCATGTGCCTCTTGCGCTTGAGCAGGTAGTAGCCGCCCTGTCCGCCTCTTGCCTTTGTCAGGCAGGGCGAGCGACCAATCATCATAGAGAAAAAATTCTTCCCGCAGCCTGTGTCAACTACAACCTCCTCGGATGAGGGCACATCATCGCTGCCCTTGGCAAGCAGCCGCCCCCTCGCCTTCCGGATGTTCCTGATTGCAGACTTGCCACTCGCTTGATCTGGCATGTTGGAATCCGGCAGTTCCTTCTGATGATCCAAACACCTTTCCAAGCTCGGCATTGCAATTGGCTCGGGGAAGCTGAACTTTCTCGTCGGCAAGATGTAATCCTTCAGCATAGCTACGACATAGACGCGTGGCCGAGACTGTGGTAAGCCATGTTCCTGCGTATTCAAGATATCAGCATAGACCTTGTACCCGCAGTCCTTCAATATCTTGACAATGGCATCCAGCAATGCCTTGTTCCGGGCATTTGCCAGGCCTTTCACGTTCTCGAACACGGCAACCATTGGACGTTGCCAGACGACGTAGCTGAGTGAGTGAAGTATGAGCCAACCTCGATCATCAGACAAACCCCCCCGTTTGCCAGCAGAGGAAAAGGGGGGGCAGGGTGCTCCTGAAACAAACAGATGCACCCTGGGCGCCAAACGGTTGTCACGCGTGGTGATGTCCTGGTACTCCAGCTCCGGGGTTTCATCAGCCAGGTGTGCTGAGATTGCACGCAGCCACTGAAGCTTCCCTTGGTCAGCCTCTGCAACGAACTTGGTCTTGGCTGAGGCTGTGTCAAGAGACATCACGAGACTGACCAAGTCGCTCCCCAATCCTGCGCAGTCAGAGCCCAGCAAGATTGTTCGGCCACGCCGAAGCTCGGCTCTTGCAAAACTTGACCCGCCCTCCCTCTCCTCGGCCGCCAGCTTTGAGGCCAACGCCCCAAGCTCCTGCAGGAACTTTGTGGCAACCATGTTCTGCAATGATGAGGAGGAGGCCTGCCGCGTAGTCGTAGGTTTCGCCTTTTGCTGTTTGCCAGACGTCTTCTTCTTCAGGATCTTTTTCACAGCCCTTATGCCTGCTTTGCGCCGCTCTCCTCCAGCCTGAGCCTTGGCCTTGGGCCTGGCCGCTCTCGGTTTCCCTGTGGTCGCTCTCGGCTTTCCTGTCGCTGCGCAGGCATGGTTGTCAAATTCTAAGTCGTCCATTGCAGCCGGAGTTGGTGAGTTTGTCCAGGTCTTGCTAAGTTGCTGGTGACTCGCTGCTGACACATCTGCTTGCTTTCAAAGCGAATTTCAACATTGTTTTACGCGCCATTGTCAACATTGACATGTCTGTGTCAACTGTCAGGAAGATCGCTTGAACCATCGAATCTGGGTGCACGCACCGACAAAAATAATTGAAGCAATCACCAGGAGCCGCCAGCCGTCAACGGAACTCTCAGGGAACTCTCAGCCCAGCCACGCGCTACTTAATTTCGCCACACATTCTAACTGAGTTACAACTGACACACCAACCTGGCTGAGACAAAGTGTCGGCAAACCCGTCGAGACCCGGCGTTGCACACCGGGCCTGAACGGGTCTGACGGCCATTGTCTACAACTATCTTAGTCTAAGCCAGCAACATTACTTCTCAGTCCAACTTGTGTTGGCGCGCACCGTCAACAAGACCTAAGTAGCTGTCTTCTGCTTTCACACACCCTAACTTAAAGTGACACACAAACTTTCGGCAAGGCATCATTTTCTCACCATCATCCATGTTGCATCCATGTCGCAGCGCCGCGAGCTAGCCATGTTTACTACAGTGGCTTTGCCACGCTGAAGCACCAGAATTCAGGAGCTAAAAGTTGCATCCTGCTGCCCAATGTGAGCAGGTCAAGTTGCGCAACGCACATCAGTTGAAGCTTAGCTTATAGTTTCCTGGCCGACGCTTCTTAAACCAGCCTCACTTCTGTCTTAAACCAGCGTGCGACACCCTGGGCAGCAGGCTGCCCGCCGCTGGCCGCCCCGTGCCATCAGTGACACTGTAAAACCCTGTCAGTCGCAGTAGCCTGGGTTGCTCTCTCAGCTTCTGGCAAGGTACGCGAGCAAAAGCACTAAGCTACTGGCGTTTCCACCAGCGATGATGTTGGGCCTGCGGCCAGCAATGTCATTGCAGCAACACACATTGTACATGCATCACTTGCCACGCCCAAGCTAATGAAATGGAACAACTCTGCAAGTAAGTCACCCATTGGTTACGCATCAGTCAGCCCGACCAGGCCCGGCCAACGACGCGGGCCTTATCGGACAGACTGCTGCGCAAAGCCAAGGATGACGTGACGCAGGCGCCCGAGCATTTTTCTCGACGATTGTTGTCTGCAACCATCATAAGGCACGGCAATTTGGCCTGCTTCGCAACACAAGCGAACAGCGACATAATATTGTCAAGACTGCAAATGACATGAACAGGTCTTGCCTCCCTTCTGACTGTCCTAAACCTATCCTTTCAATCTTTCCCGCAAATGCAAAGCTGGCAGGCATCAAACATGTTTGCCACTGCTAGCATCCAAAACGCCAGCCCCCCGCCGCAGTGACTGCTGCAATCATAATGTCAACTGACCTGCTACTTATTAGTTTCCTGCATTGATGGCATGATCATTGTCATGGCTTCACCACAGTCACTGCTGCGCTGGCCCAGCTACGCAGCAATCCACTAAGTGACTAAGCTCATTCGCTTGCAGAGTCTGAATTTGAATCTGCGATGATCCTTTTCTTCTTCGGCTTCTTCTTCTCCTTCTCGTCATCTTCGTTGCCTTCTCCATCATTGCTTGGCTTAGGCTTGGGCTTTGGTTTGGGTCCCGGATTTGTCTTCTTCTTTGGCTTCTTCCTCAACGGCTGGTCGTCTTCTTCTTCATCATCATTCTGGCTTTCATCGTCGTCGGCGCCAAGGCGGCGGGAGCCTTTCTCCTGCCAGGAAGTTGAAAGGCCCATTCCAATAATACACGTCTTAGTCTATCTATCTCAAAGCGCATAATTAATAAGACGCAAAACTCGCAAGTGCCGTTTCCGTTCCTTGGTTGCCACTTCGGCCCATTCTGGAGCATACAACGGCGTGCCCTCTGTCGCCATGCTCGTCTTGATGTGGCCAATGAGCTCCTCAGGCAGACGCCAACTATAATATTATTATAGCAACTAAACGCTACTCGTGCGAACAAAAATGACTGGCGGCGCCCCAAAAAACTTTAAGCCCAAATCCTGCTTCAGGTTGACGGCATGGCTTTCACTCAGGCAGACTCCATAATAAGGCAATCGCTTCTCCACAGCAGCTTTGGCCAGCTCTCCTGACCCTGGGCTGAGATCCAGAACTGCAGAAATGCTCCAAGAGCCCAGCAAGTTCTCAAACAGCACCTTTGGCAAGTTGTGAAAGAAGACCGGCTCGACATCGTGGTCTTTCCGTTGAAGTTCCCCCTCTGCCTCCTGCGCGGCCGCCGTCCCCTCTTCGACATCATCCTCGTCCGCTTGGCTGCTCAAGCCGTCTCCGCCGAAGATTTTCTCCTTGAAGATTGCCTGCCAAAAGAATCGAAGCGCGCGCAAACGCGGAATTTAATTAGTGTAGACAATTATTTCCGAAAAGCTCAATGTTGCATAATAATAAGTCATTGTTGAAGCTCGAAACCGCCGGCCTGCTTCTCTTCCACAGTAGCCTGCCAAGTCTGAGAAGTCGAAGCCAGCGAGACAAACGCCAGAGCATTGCCGCGACAGCTGCCAGGGTACTTTGTGTGCTTCCTTTCTGGCACCATCTTGTCCAAGGAGTCCTTGGTAATGAAGTGAAACTTCATTACTTGGTTCAAAGCACCGCGGCTCTTTCTCTTCTTCTGCTTGACGCTGTCTTGGCTGATGATCAGGCTGAGCTCCCAGTGCTCCAAGTGGGGACTCACGCTGCCCCTTGTCCTGGCTGACTTGAAGGGAGCCAGGACCTGGTCATCCCTTGCGCGGCCACCGTCGTTAACGACAATCATGTCGCCCTCGATCGGTGTGTCCACTTGGGTAGACTTGCCAACGGGGGAGGAACCTCTGGCCTTGAGCGCGCAAGTGATGAGCTTCTGCAACAAGCCTGGCTGAATGGGTGGCAGCCGCAATGCCGGCTTCTTGTTGCTCTCGCCGATGAGCTGTGTGTCAAGGTATATCAACACAGCTGACTTGCCAGGAACTCCCTTGACCTTGCTCGGGCTCAGAGGGGACTCGCTGATCATCTTGATGAGCGCGGATTCCGTCGATGGCTCGGGCTGCAGGAGGCAGTAGATGTTGAGCAACTCTGCAGCAGTCGCCGTAAAGTGTTCGACGCTGCCTTTCGTGTAGCGCGAGGGCGTGGCCGGAATGGCGCCCTTTGCTATCTTGGTGCACTCGTCATCCTCCCGAGCATGCTCAGCCTCTTCGCTCATGCCGGCCAAAGCTTTCTCCGACGCTGTCTCGGCATCCTTCTCTTTCGTGCACTCACGCATCCTCAGGCTGAATGTCTCGACCTCGCACAGCTCCAGGGGCTCTGGCTTGGTTGGGTTCTTTTTCAGGACCGCGATCATGGCTGAGTTCAGCGAGTTTCCGAACAGCAGGTCCTGGCCACGCCACATGTTTCCTTTTTATTATTCATGTTAAAAACAATGATTTGAGAGCGACGAACTACCGAACCGGAACAGCCAACCATCCAACAAATGGGCAAGTCCATTTTTGCAGGCGCCTTTCTTTCAGCCTATTAGACCCAAAAATGCACAAATAAAGGGCGCTTGTTAAAATGATTGTGGTCACTTGACCTCTCTTGGATGCGCCAATCAGTCTATCAGTTAGCAACAGACGGTCAAGTGCCCGCAATTGAAGTTGTTTCTTGAAATGCCCGAAAACTTTGGCAAAGAACGTTTCAGCCATTAAATTAACACACATGACTTGTCTTGGTAGCTAATTATTAGTTCAGTTCGAGGGCTCTGGCAGGAGTTAAAAGACAGTCCAAAGAAGCACTCCCGGGTTGCCTCTTAGGGACATTCAAACGTGTGCAGCCATCTTCGAATCGCAGGGCTAGATGAAGGGGGGAAGCTGCAATAATTGGCCTGGTGCCACCGCGATCTCGGAATAATCGGGGATATAGACGTGGATGAGGACCAGTCTGAACAGGCCACCCACAAATGTTTGTGTAAAAACCAGCAAAGCCTTGCGGGGACACAGTCATCTGAGAAGGGCCAGGGAAGCTGAACACCAGACCATCATCAATGTAAGTTGGCCCGGGCTACCAAAATCTAAGCTCAGCATTCAGAAAGCAAAAGTTAATCAGTCAACTGCCATGTTCATCAAACAAATGCCTGTCATTGCGCAGCCAGTCAGTCAATCAGTCAGAAAGCCAGCCCTTGATGAATGGCTCGAGCCAGATTGAAAAAAGGCCAAGCGAATCGGTGTCTGAGATAAAATCAATCAGGCAGTCTTACTGAGCAAGCTACCAAGCCAGTCAGCCAGTCAACAACTCCCAAGCGCGCCAAATATAATTTAGACCCCTTAATATACTTGACCTGTGACATTTGCCTCAGCCTCTATTTTGGGCAATCAGCCAAAAATGAGCCAGTCTTATCGGTTTCAGGCAGTCCTCCATCAGCTTCAGCGCTTTGATGGAGGAAACCTTCAGACCAGCTTGCCACTGGCTCGCCACAACCCCATCGGCATCTGGCTTAGCAGTGACTGTCTGCCTGTAGATCTCCACGTTGGCCAGATGCTGCTTGACAAGCTGCAAGTCTTCCAAGCGAAACCTTGCCGAGCAAGTTCCACCTCCAGGAAGAAGTCCACAGCCTGCCGGCGGAACTTGATGAAGTCCACGGCTGAAGCAGCAGTTGGCGAGCCCTGGAGGTAGCTCTTTCCAACCTCATACCAGGAGCGTTCAAGCAACACTTATTGTAAAACAAAAAACGCAAACAGCTGAGCAACGACTTCAAACACAAAAAACAAGCCAAGGTACCGCGTCGCAGCTCAGTTTGCCAGTCGACAATGCATCTTCGAAAAAGCCCAACACCCAGCGCCGCTGTTCGACGTTGCTTGTTTTCTCTATGATGACACGGAGCTTGAGAAGGCTATTGAGCGGCGACTCCAGTCCGAATTGGCGCTCCAACGACTCGAGCTTGGCGTTGCAGTAGTTGTCTGTCAACAGTTTCTCGTAAACCCTTTGACAGTCTGCAACGAAGTTGTCCGCGCCAGTTTCGATCTTGGTGGAGCGAGCCTCGGTGTGCTTCGAGCCATCTTTGAACAGCATTTGCAAGCGCTTTGAAGTCAACGCCTCGCCAAGCTCCTGCTCCTTCCTCTCTTTGAACGCCATGATCTCGTGCGCCCACTGCCGGGCTGACCTCTTGATAGTGTCGTGGCTTTGGACAATCCTTGCACGCGTGACCAACAATAGACTTAGATATTAATTAGCCGTGAATTGTATGATTGAATCATATTATTATTCAGTTGCCAAGGCGTCCGTCAGCCTAAGGCCTAGCCAGACTTGGCACATTCAAACCGCACATGTTGAATCTCAGACCCAGTCCTCTGCCTCTGGTCGTATGCCTCCCAATAGATTGCATCCTCGTTGCCCAGGACACTGAACATCATCGGCGTGCTCAGCAAGCAGGAACGCCATGATCGCAGCTCTTCCTCACCGGCGCCTGCTGTGATGCGGTCTGCCAGCGCAAACACAGTGCTGTGAGTCAGCTCTTCCGGCGTCACTTGTTTCCAAGATCCGCGCAAAGCAAGCAAGTCCGAGTCAGCTGCAGGGGCTGCAACGAGAATGAGGTCTTTGAAGTGGCGCGGCCCCTTGCCAAAGACAGTCTGTGCCCACTCACGCACCCTTGCGTAGCTCAGCGGCACCCTCGGTGTCGAGTTGCTGGTCAGGTCAAGCCAGAACAAATTGCAAGCTGCCCGGTACACTCCTGTCCGAGCCAATGCAATCTTCGCAGCCTCCGCCTCAAAGACAGCCTGCCACACGGCGTCGCTCTTAGTTCAAAAACTTACAATGTGCTCCGGCAGCATCGCATCTATAATAATTGCAGTGAGAATGGTTTGAGTTGCACATTTGGTTTCAATCAAGCCAACACTGACAGACGCAATTGAAAGTAAGCAGCTAGCCTGCCTGAACGCCGCACTCTTTGGTTTCATCATCCGTGATCAGCAGCGGCATCGCCTCGTTGATCCGCTGAAAAACAGGGTGGCCTTGAATGACAGACATTGAGTCCATCAGCTTCGTGTAGTAGTCCGTGTTGTTCTGGAGCACGTCCGCTGACGGGGCGGCAAGCGACGGCGGGGCGGCTGCACCTTTCCCGCCTGCGGACCGGGCAGCCTGCTTAGCCTTGCTGGCATCAGCCTTTGCCTTCTTCAGCTCTTGCGTGCGGGTGGCGACATGCTGCCTGTGAGCTTCTTTGGCCTCCTGCTCAGAGCAGCCCTGGTTCAGCCTTTCCGCCTTCACCGCATCCGCCTCCTTTTGAACAGAGCTTTCTTCTGCCCGGTTCAGGCGCCACTTGCTTGCCATGGCCCATGCAATGCGATGACCCAATCTCACTGTAAGGTTCAGCTGGCTGTCAGTTTCCGACTTGCATTGTCTGTCGTTGACCCACATTGAAAATTGCGTGATTCAACGCTTGTGAGAATGCCAACAGTCAGTAGACGACAACGACATTTCCTTGAACCGATCATGCCAAGGTCATCAAATAACAAAAGCGCAGTGATGTCTTGTGAGACAAGAATGCAGCCCTTAAATGTGTGTCCTGCTGTGTCAAAACAACCATCAACCATCGTCGGCCCCTTAAATTAAAGCCCTCAGTGTCAGCCCAGCCTCCGCGTCGCCGTGATCATCTGAATCACCCCCGCCGCCGCGGCAGAGGCAATGGCTTCCTTCGGCCTCAGTCAGTGGCAAGCTTTTCAACTGAAAGTCAGTGATCGATATTAAGATGGAGGTGCCAAAAGATTGAAAAATAAAAAATAATAACGATTTGAGGGGGCGCCGTGAAAAGTCAAATAGTTGGCCGGCGGTTTAGGGTTTAGGGTTTAGGTTTCATTGAATTACCAATCAACCTTGCAAACTATCACTGTGCGACGGCTGGCTGAGAAGGACCCCCCGCTGGGGGGGTCCCTCTCGACAGCGCCTGATGAGAGGGACCCCCCCCCGCTGGCACCGCTCAAGCGGCTCAGCGGGGGGGGGGTCCCTTAGAATCAGCGCTTGCAGCGGGGGGGGGTACCTCTCATCAGGCGCTCCCGGAAGCACCTGTCCAGAGAGACCCCTAGCGGGGGGGGTCCCTCTCGACAGGCTCTCCTCCTGGGAGCACCTGCCGAGAGACCATTGACGTACAACGGTTGCGGGCGTTTACTAGCATAACTTGCATTTTGGGTTGGTTGACGTATAACGGTTGCGGTTGCTGACGTATAACGGTTGCTGACGTAGTTGCGGAGCCGGCGGATTGATTGATTAAACAGAAACAGACCTGGGTTTAGGGTTTAGGGTTTAGGGTTTAGGGTTGACAAGGTTTAGGGTGACCCTGGCACCTGCCCTGCGCCTGCGGTCATGCTGCAAAGCGACTCTGAGGAGGACGAGCAGCAGGTCCAGGTTGCAGGGCAAGCCTGCAAAGGCCGCTCGTCGCTGCAAAGTTAGCTGAATCATCACGGCATCAAACTTGCTGAATCATCACAGCAAACTTGCAGCTAAGTCGCCGCAGAAACTGTCTGAAAGACTCCTGCGTCATCGCCACGGATTCCGCCAGTGAAGCCGGACCTGCCGCCGCAGCCGCAGCTGAGGCTGCCATGCCGCCGCTGCCACCGCCGTCGCTGATGACCTCAACGTCAACCTCGTCATCGCCAGCCCTTAGGAACGACGAGCCCAACAAAACGACATTGACTGAGACATGACAATGACGGGCAACAACATTTTGGCTGAGGCTTGGCTTTCTGCAAACAAAGCCACTGAGCAGCAGCAGCGCCCTTCTTCTGCTTGCGGCGCAGCTCGCGAGCCCTGTTCGCTGCCTTCTTTGTTTCCTCCGACGCCATCTCCCGCTCCTTGCGCTTTTTGCGCTCAAACGCCGCCGCCGTGGAGGGCTCGATGGCCTCCGTCAGGTTCAACGTGCCGATCACCTCAATGAGGCCCGGCGTGCTGCGGCGCATGAGCATCTCGAAGGCCGCCTGAAGCTTGCCACCAAAAGACCTCCATGCCCGCGAGCTCAGATTGGGCAGAGGCGACCGCACTGAAGGCGGCACCGGGTGGGCAAGCCGCCCCTCCAGCATCTCGTACCTGGGCAAGCTGCAAAAAAAACGATAGGTGATATGTATACACACGCACGAACACATGTCTTGATGAGTCTTGCTCTGATGTTTTGTGAATTGATCTAACCAGCTCAATTCAATGAACCTGGCAAATTTCAGCCAAAGAGCAAGGTGCAGCCAAGCCCATAGACATCCACTTTGGCCGTGACCGGCTCATCTCCAGCCCAGACCTCTGACGGGAAGTACTCTGGCGTCCCAGCCACGTCAGGTGGTGGCACCAGCTTGGTTGCCACGCCAAAGTCCCCCAGTTTTGCCGTTTGGCCAGACAGGAAAATGTTCCCGGGTTTCACGTCCCTGTGCACCAGGCCAAGCTCCTGGTGCATGTAGATGAGGCCGCTGGCGATCTGCCGAGTCACTCGGGCCGCCGCATTCTCGTCCATGGGAATCTGGCTGTTGAGATCGCAGCTCATCAGCTCCATCAGCAGGAAAGCAATGCCTCCTCAGTTCAAAGCATGCAAAACCAAACTGCCAGGCTCTGAACAAACCGTAACCACTGACTAATTTTGACACGCCAAGCCGCCGCTAAACGTGCCAGAGTCGAAGATGGGCACCAAGTGCGGGTGCCTGAAGGAGTACATGATGCGCCGCTCCTGGGCGTGGACGGACACTTAACTTCAATCAGCGACTTGTGTTGCCATCAGTCTCAGAGGTTGGTGCATATTATTTTCTGTCAAGCCGCTTGTTCAAAGAACTCATCCGTGACAATGACGCCATCATCATCGCCCTCCGCCTCCTGCAGCGCAAGCTTCAGAGCTTGAAAGGACCTTAGTAGACGCCAATCATACTCAATCAGGAATCAGTTCAATAACAAACTCGAGCAACTGAATGCATCCAAAAATCAAGTCCGACTTCATCTGGACCTTGAAGGCAGCACCCATGCCGCCCTTGGCCAACAATTTGCAGCTCTTGAAGCGCCCAGTCTCAAGGACTTTCTGCACCCACTCGTCATCATGATCATGATCAGCGGCGGCCATCAAGCAAAGGCGCCGTGCCGGCTGTCACTCTAAAATCAGTGTCATGACGATTCAATGTTTGAATTCTTGCATTGGCTGCTCATCATCTAGGCTCACTCATTGCGTTGCTTGGTCAGACACTTGTCACGGTCAGTGCAGTCAATGCCAAGCCGCCTTGATCCACTCAGATGCATGACAAACAAAAGGGTCAGAGAGACTGAGACATCGCGTGGCAACTCAGTGGCCCGACAAGGCCCGGCCAAGCGGCCGGGCTTCGTCGTGGCCGCGCAATGTTGGGCAAGCTAAGAAGGCTCAAAGCATTTGTTCCCTGGCGGACTCTCCATTAGCAGGCCCACTTGGCCGTCGCCAGCCGTCACTCAGTGCTCAGTCAGCCTGTGCGGGGCATCAAAATTTGACATGTTCATGCAGTGCTGCTCAGTGCCTGGCTCAGACTGACTGCCCAGTCAGCGGGTGAGGACCTCCTGCAGATGAGAAGCAATGAAAAGGACTTGAGTCTCAAAAAGGCCAATCAACAATTCAAAAACAATGCCAAACCCGCTCCTGCTGGCGAGCAGGGTTGCGGCCAGTCCTGCACGGCAATTCATTCGCGCACTCAAGCCATGCCGCAGGAACCCCGATCAAGCTCGCACACGTCAATTCTGAGCTCCTTTTTTCAACAATAGCTCCACTGCCACGAGTTAATACTGCCAGCCTTGGCCTTGCATTGCCGTCATCAAAAAAGGCCAATGACGAGTTTCTTGGATGTCAACACACTGACTGACACAACCAGGAAAGGCCAGGCTGTCTCACTACGACGACGTCCACGACGCCGGGGCAGGCAGCCGCACGATCGCAGTCCTCCCGCCGACTACAGGCATTTGAGGCGGCTGAGGCTGAGCAGGAAATTGAATGAACCTTGCCACAGTTCCCCGCGGGACCGGCATCTGCTGACGCCCAACGCGAGGGTGAGTCGCAGCTGCCGCGACTGTTGGGGGAGATCTTGATCGCGGGTCAACCTCCGCCGGAAAGTCACGACGAGGCAGCGCAGTGGCAGTGCCAGGCGCAGCAGCAGCACCAGCGGCGCCGTGTCCACAAAGGCGAAGCTCATCAGGAGTAGCCCCAGCAGTGCCACCAGTGCTCGCCTGACACTGAGTTGATGACAGTCAGCCACAGTCACAGTTTCATCACAGTAAAACAGTTTCAAGATGATTTAAAAAGTGCCAGTGCGTTGAAGGCTCTTCCGCCAGCAAGAGGCTCGGCTGCTCCACCGCCGCAGCCGGGCTCAGGCCCGGCGTCTTGGCGGCAATGCCCTGGTTGCCGCCGAACATCAAATTCGACAAGTCGTTTCAGGTAACAAACTTAAGACTAACCATCAAAATTTGACCAACAAAATTACGCAGAGCGTCAGTGCCACCGTTGAAGCTGGCAATCGTCGTCGGCGTGTGCATCCGCGACGAAGAGGGCGGCGGCGTTGCCGACACCACCGGAGAAGGTGGCACTGGCCCTGCCACTGGCCCAGCCGGCGCAGGCGCCGGCGCGGGCGCGGAGACTGCCTGATTCGACGCAACCATGGTTGCGACAGATAACGAAGACAAAACTTGCAAGGGGCACGGCTAAAATCTGAAATGCAACCTTTGAACTTGCCAAGGCGCCGCTGGGCCAATCCTTCGCGCCCACCACGTCACCGTCGGCACAGCTTCGAAGACATACCCGCTCACGTCAACGTACCCAGTCCTTCCGGCGAGGATTCGATGGCGAGGATTCGTTTTTTTCAGCGCTTATTCGAGTTGACGAGGATTCGTCCAAATATCGCTTGGCGAGGATTCGGGTTGACGTGGATCAGTGTCAACCGACGGGTGTCAGCTGCGCATGTTTGTAGTATATTCGTTGAATTGTCGCATGGCTTGTCCTGCCACTTCCATATCGGGCACATCTTGTGTTAGCACAGTTGATTAGGATGCCTCGGGCTCCTCCAACAGAACATTTTGTTGCATGGTAATTCTTGCCATTTCCATATCGGGCACATCCTGTGTTGGCACAATATAGTAGTATGCTTCGGGCTCCTCTAATAGCATAAGCAAAAAAAGTAGGAAGCCGCAGGCTCCTAAGAACGCGTGCTCGCAAGGCCCATAAGGTATTTGTTTTGGAGTCCCAGGAGATTTGCTGGCCATGAGTCGTCAAGCTGGCTTTCGGTTTAAGGTGTAGCTGTGTCCCCCCACTTAGGGTTTTCCATATAGGGACATGTCAGACCAGCACAACGTCTATG